TCTCTTCACCTCCTTTGCAAAATGGGCATAATAACCCCTGTCTCACTGGGTTGTTTAGGGATACGTAGGAAACAAGAAAAAATACATCACTGGGAGACAGTTGGCCCAACATGTCACCTAGGTACATTGTTATTCAAACAATATCTATAATATGTAAGTTTATACCGATTATATATGATTATATTTATAATTATAGACAGTTTTGTATTTTAATATGGTTTTCATATCAATATGCATTATAACTATACATTCTTTTACAGATTTTATATTATGTATATGATAAACACGCATGAAATATTTGTTTTATGTATGCAAATACATTTCTGTATTTTATTTGTGTGGAGGAAGAGGCGATGGGGGGAGGGGGTGTCCAATAGCTTCCTTGACAAAGGTGCGGCAAGGGGACACTGGAAAGAACTCGGGCCACTTCTGAACCATCGTGGGATCTCCTCAGAGCTTTGGATATGAGATGCTTGGAGACTCGATCGTGAATGAATGAGCGGACGGCTGGCTAAATGAAGGAGTAGTGCACATCCCACCCAAAAGGTTCATTTCGCTCCCACCAAACGCCCAGCGACAGCGTTGGTTCCCAGGAAGCGGGGTGAGGAGCTTGGCCGAGCCCAGAGGTCATTATTTCATATGTGGTGGAACCGGAGGGTTGGCCGTCTTAACCATCGCTGTGCTGGCCGGTCCCGCCCGTGGGTCCCTGGCGCCATGCGGGGGAGGGGATCCTGGCCCTGCTCGGGGTCCACTGGCAAAGTTTTCACACAAACCCAGGAACCGTCTTTGACTTTTTAAGCCAACAATCAGTGACCTCTATCATGAACTAGGCTCTATGGGACCCGAGGCCACTTGGATGTAAAAGGGGTTCAGATGTGTGTGGATTAGGCTTCTGTTGTCATTGGAGGAATCTGATATTTGATACCATCAACCTTCCTTATACCTTGAGAGTTGAAAGTATCTTGGATGGTAGAGTCTGTTTGTTGGGGGAGGCCACTGGGTAGGATATCACTTTTAATGTCCTCTTCTTCCTACACGCCCGTCAACGGGAGGAGCTTAGCAGAAGGGAGGGCCCTTGTTTGTCCATCAAAAATCGTTTGTTGCCCTGGCCAGTTTGGCTCAGCGGTTAGAACGTTGGCCTGCGGTCTGGAGAGACTCGGGTTCAGTTCCCGCTAAGGGCATGTACCTCGGTTGCAGTTTGTCCCCGGCCCTGGTTGGTTGTGCGGGTGGCAGCCACTCGATGTGTCCCTTTCACGTCGATGTTTCTCTCTCTCTCTCTCTTCCTCTTTCTCCCTCCTACTCTATCTGTACAAAAAATGGAAAAATGTCCTCAGGTGAGGATAAAAAAAAAAAAACCGTTTGTTTGTTTTTGTTAAGGGGGAAATAATAAGAGTTTGGAGTTCTTGTGAAAACCGTTTCAGGCCTCATCAGTGCCTGGTCCGTGCAGGGCAGACCCCCGCTCAGTGATACGCCGTGTCCGTCTCCATGCGAGTGGCATGCGCCCGAGTGGTTTGGGCTGCTGTGTAGGAGGGGCCATCTCTCTGGGCGTGTTACTGAGAGAAGAGCCTCTGTTCTGAGGACCGGATTCCTCTAGGCCACAGCCCCGGCCAGCTCTTCCCTCTGCCCGGAACGTCCTTCCTCCGGGAATGCCCACGGCTCGTTGCCCTGCGTCCTCCCGTGAGGTCCTCCCTGCCCGCCGTGCCACCCGCGTCCTCTCCCCAAGCCTGCGTTTCTCCGTAACACTCACCCCTTCTCACACTCGACGTACTTACTCCCTTTTCTCGTGATGACCTGTGTGCCCTGGATGCAACTTCGTGACACCAGGGTTGCTGGGGTTTCCCCGGTCCCCAAGGCCCAGGACAATGCCACCTAGATGTTGAGCAGGTGTTTGCAGAACGGTGACCGACAGGAGTCTCTGCTTTGCTTAGTCTCGAGCCCGGTTCCCTCCAAATGCCCGAATAGGGTTCAGGGCTCCCCTATGCCAAAGGGAAACCGTCACCTCTTCCCTGATGAGAGTCACGGAAGGATGAACTCAGCAGACTCTCGCACGTACAAAAGGCCCTCTGCCTAAGGCCTTGGCATCCAAAGAGAGTTCTTAGCTGATGGCAGAGCCGTCTGCCCGCTTCCACAGAGGAAACGGTGGGAATATGACCGGCCCATGGAGGTGGCAGGAATGTTTGGGGAAGGGTCGCTGGCCTCCCCAAGGGGCATCACTGGGTGAGCAAGTCAGAAAGGCCCAGATTGGCGGGACGGGGACCCACTGACAGGCGCCATGGCAGGAGCTGCAGGCCATGACCAGCCTTTATGGTGCCCACCTTGAAGGCAGGTGGCACACGGGTGACGCCGGGCCCTGTGATGTGAGGTCCAGCTCTGTGCCGTCTCCTGAGGACTCCCTGACTAAGGTCCTGGCTCGGCGTCAGCGATCCGTCCGTGCTGCTCCTGGAAGTACCTTCCAGCTGTTGCCCCAGCAGAGACACCCTTGAGCAAGTCCTGCCTGGACGTAGTTCCTCAGGCGAGGCTGAAAACGCGTGACCCGCATGGGTGTCATTCATCCGTGACCTAAACGAGAGAGAATTTAGAAAGCACTAGGGATGTGTCCTTCCGCAGAGGAGGGAAGAGCTAAGAGAAACAGAAGTTCATTATCGCACGGCGAACGGTCCTTCTGTCTGCCCACATCTGGAGCAGACACAGATGCCAACAGGAACTGGCTCTCCGCTCCCAGACGCTCTGAAGCTCAAACCCTGCACCTAACCAACTTCATTCATCTGGTTTCTGTCCCTTTTCTTTAATGGCACCCCCCCACCCCCCGTAAGCCCAGAATGTAGGTGTTATTTTGAAAGATGGTGACATGGGGGCACTTGTCTGAGACCGGCACAGCCTCAGCCCTCTGAGCTGTGGACAGTGGACACCCTCTGCTCCCTTGTAAAGCAGGAGGATTCACACAGCTTTTCCATTGGGCTTCTCTCCGCTACTGTTCTTTCTTGTTTTCGTTTTTTGTTGTTGTTGTTAACCCTCACTGGAGGGTATCGTTCCATTGATTTTTAGAGAGCGTGGAAGGGAAGGAGGGAGGGAGACAGAAAGAGAGAGAAACATCGATGTAGAGAGACACATCGGTTGGTTGCCTCCCGCACATACCCCAACCAGGTCCGGGGATCAAACCCGCAACACTTTGGTGCACAGGCCAACACTCTAACTACTGAGCCACACTGGCCAGGGCTCCGCGATTGCTCCTCTTGTTATAAACCCTTCCTTCCCAAGGCTCACAACTTACCCTAGTGTCTTTCCTCATGAACAGTTAGCATATCCGGGGAATCAGTTCCCTTCCAGAAGGAACTGATAAGAGTTGATCGCAACGCCTGGTTGTTATCACAGGGGGAATGATGTCTAGTCCCCAGGTCAGGCCGGAGCTACGCGTGTCCCAGGAAAACTCCCCCACGGGGAGGACGGTCCCACCTCTGCCTTGCTGAGGGCTGTCTCTGTGCTGAGAACAGCTCTCGACTTCTCTGAAATGTTTGTCCCTGCAAAGCCCTTCGACCCTGATACAGTTAGTTTTCTTCTTGGATCCTCATTGGGAGACCTGGAATAGCCCATCTGTCTGTCTGCCAAGGGAAGTCACAAAGCTTTCAAAGGAAACGTTGTTACAGCAGGACAAACACGTCACGGCGCATGGTGCCTGCATCCGTGAGCAGGACGGGCAGGTAGGAGCGTATCTGTGGATTAGAGTTCTGCTCCAGTGAATGAGCTGCGGTTGAGAGCAAACTCTTGCGCGGACAGTGCAGCGTGCCCAGCTTGGCCATGGTCTTGAACAGTTGCCAGACTCCGTGGCAGATGGCGGCGAGCCCGCTGTCTCCGGGGGAGCACGGCCGCGAGCACGGGCTGGGCCGGTAGATTGGGATCAATCGCGATGTCATCCTGTTGCAATCTGCATGGGGAGAGGGCTCCGGGGAGCAGGGCAGCAGGCCCCCCTCTCTCACTAAGTCCGTCAGCCTTCTGGGTTTCGGGCATGCCTGTCCCCTGAATCCATGCTGCTCAGAACATGGGAAAACGCATTCATGGAAAGGGGACTGGTTGTGTTGGGCGACTGTCAGCTGGAGGAAACAAACCTCTGGCTGTCAGTGGCTCATTGTAACAGAGGTGTTTCCCTTCCCTATGACCTTCGGGGCTCTGCCCTGCAGGTGGCTTCCCTCCCTACAGTGACTCGGGACCAGGTGCCACACCTGGCTCCTCCGAGTCCCAGGACATTGGAACACGCTGAGCTCAGCTGGAACAGGGAGGAACAACCGCTTAAATAGCTTCCACCAGAAGCGACCCCATCACTTCACCTCTGCTCATGCCCCATTGCCATGAGTGTCATACAGCCCCCCCGGGTGCACGGGGGCTGGGGAGCCCGTCCAGACCGTGGACCAGGAAACATGGGCCCTGCTGGGAGGTTGGCCGACTGTGCCCCGTCCCGTTGTAACCCTGGTATTCTGTAGCCAGAACATTTCCGGCATCTCCCGTCCTTTCCGGCAGTGCTCGGGGAGACAGTCACGCCCTTCATAAGCCAAGGCCAGCGCCGCCCGGCCCTGACCCACGGCGGGGGTGTGCCCGTGGCCCCCGGAACTGCTAAGCATGGCCGTGTGTACCTCTGTTCTTTCCACGTTCCAGTGAGGACATGAGCGTGTTCATGCTGCAGGCTCCAGACCCTAAGAACCACGTCCCCCTTTGCTGCTTTGTGCACAACTGTTAGTGATGCTAAGGACTCTGTCCAGGCCTGGGGTTCCGACGACCGTGGGAAGGGCGCTGCTCTGTGGAGAGCGCGTTCCTCGTGGGTGGTGCTGGCACTGTCCAGGAATGGCTCTCAGAGTCAGCTGAGCACCTCGCTCGACCCTGAGTGTCCACGCCTTCGCTCACCGAGACCGACAGTGGGCCCCCGGGCAGGCGTCCCGGTGGGGCCCAGGAGTCCCGCACGGCGGGGCGAGGTCCTGCGTGCTGACAGTGACGCGGGCTCTTCTCCACAGGTACCCGTTCCCCATGATGTTCAGTAGCTGCAGCCGGAGGGACCTGGAGGCCAGCCTGGAGAGGGGCGTGGGCGTGTGCCTGTTCAACCTGCCCGAGGTCCGGCAGCCTTTCGGGGGCCAGAAGTGTGGGAACGGCTATGTCGAGGAAGGAGAGGAGTGCGACTGTGGGGAGCCAGAGGTAAGAGGTGTTCCCAGGACGTCGGTTCGCGTCCGCGTCTGGGCAGAGGCGAGAACTTGGAGGCACCGCGCAGCCGCGTAAAGGGGCTGGGAACTCGGGGGCGAAATCCTGCACGGCCACCGTGGACGTGCCTCCCGAGCTCGGTGGCCTTCTTACACGTTAGCTGGCGCCCAGAGAAAGTCAGCACGGCTTGGAGAGATGAGGGCCTTCCCTTTGAAGGATGCCGTGTTCTCGGGAGGGTGAGGACGAGAACCAGGGAAGGCAGGGAGCTTTGCGCGTGGGCTTCGGACGGCCAGTCAGCCCCGTGTTTTCTGTGTGTGTGAACAGAGGGGAACTTGAATAAGCACCATTTATGTTTCACCGAGAGCTTCCTCCCCAGTGGAAATCCCGCGTGGCTGCCGCGGCCTCCTCTGGACGCAGGACCCCAGGCTCCCGGCCACGCTCCCTGTTAGCCGTCAGAGCCATAAGCGAAGGGGGCGCTTCTCCCCGGCACAGGGCTCATCACACCCTTTCCCCAGCCAGTGTCAGGGAAGTGTCTTGTTTCCCTTGGGCCCGATCTAATGTTAATCAGCATAAAAATTATACCAGCACTTTTTAATCTCTGAATAATCTTGAGAGGGAAAGAGAAAGACAGGAGACACCTCCTGGTCAAACAGGAGCATGGGGGAGGTGGTGTTAGAGCAGATCACAGCAGGCGGTCTGCGTGCGGGGTTCACAGGTGGGCTGGATGGGGGCTCAGGAAGAGCGCGTCTCGGGGAGCTTCTCTGGAAGGGGGTTCTGGGGTCAGGGAAACTGTGCCGAGACTCTGAGACATACCTCGAATTCCTGTCTTCATCCAGCGAACAACTGGGGTCTCAGGTTTCCCGTCCCCCGGGAGCGACCTGGGTCTGTCTGGCTGTTCTTGCGAGAACGTGGGAGTGAATGGATGGGAGCTGGGGCCGGGGGTCGGTTGTGGTTTCCTCAGAGGTTCGTCCACAGCGGCGGTTGGTTTTGCTCACAATGCACAGGGCGGCTGCCGTGCAGAAGCCAAGCCCGCATTAGGAGGCTACAGAAACTCTTTATAAGGCCCGTAGAGGAACACTTGAAACTGTCACGGGATGGGGATGCAGAGGGGAAAGTCCTTGGAGACTTTGTGAATTACGTAAAGAAAAACAACAAAATTAGCTTAAGTTATTCATGTTTCTCTGTCCATGCTGGCTTAAAAATGCTTTGTCTTTGACGTGAACTCCTTGTAATTAATTGTTTATTAATCCAATACATTTGCCAGCTCCTCGTGGAGCCATGGACTCTGAGGTGTGGAGTGACTGTGTCGGCGGCCACTGCACATCCCAGCACAGCCACGGCACCGCTGCCTCCCTCACCGTCACCCCCGGGAACATCGGCGCTGTTACCATCACCACCTCCATCACCCCTACCCCACCCCACCATAACCACTACCCCCGTTATCACCACCATCACCACCACCCCCACCACCTCCATCACCCCTATCCCACCCCCACCCCACCATAACCACTACCCCCGTTATCACCACCATCACCACCACCCCCACCACCTCCATCACCACCAGCCCACTCCCACCCCACCATAACCACTACCCCCGTTATCACCACCATCACCACCACCCCCACCACCTCCATCACCACCAGCCCACCCCCACCCCCACCCCACCATAACTACTACCCCCATTATCACCACCATTGTCATCATCATCACAACACCATCATCATCACAACACCAGTGCTACCACCATCCCCACCATCCCCACCACCTCCATCAACCACCATCCCCACCAACCACCATCCCCACCAACCACCATCCCCACCATCCCCACCACCTCCATCAACCACCATCCCCACCATCCCCACCACCTCCATCAACCACCATCCCCACCACCTCCATCAACCACCATCCCCACCATCCCCACCACCTCCATCAACCACCATCCCCACCATCCCCACCACCTCCATCCCCACCACCACCAGCAGCACGTGGCCCCCTCATCTCTCCGCCAAGTAGGCTTGCGCGTTGGCAGGGTGCCCCGTCTCCAGGCAGCAGGCTGCACTGCAGGGCAGACGGATCGAATGGAGCGCGTGCCCTGCACAGAGCTAAGCCCGCTCACGTGGAACTCCCAAATCACATGTCCGTGGTGAGGGTCCTTATCTCATAGGACAAGTTCTCGGTATTTGGAGGGAACTCACTTCTCTCACCCAAAGTTTTTTCTTCCAAGAAGTTTTTCAAAGTCACCGCCGAGTCTTTTACCTCACTTTTTAGATTTTTTTGTTTTTCAATTTTTCACTTTTCAGTGTTCAAGTGAAAGTGTGTCTCCCGGCCTGACGGCCCATTCCCAGTGTGCAAATCACTTGTAGTCCGACCTGTGAACCTGGGTTCTGTACTCCCCTGACCCCGTGCCCAGGCCCTGGAGCCCATGCCTTTGCTTCACGGTGGCCCATCCAGGGACCCTGTGTGTCGCCACCTCAGTACGTCAGAACCACTGCCCAGCTCACAGCTGGGACCCGCTTCTGCCCCCTGGCTCCCAGGAACAATCTCCACTGTCTCCAGAAAGGTGCCCCGTCGTCCCATCCCAGCTGGGTGTGACGAGGAAGCCATGTCTGCGCAGGCTCTGCCCCCTGGAGACGACGAGGGGGCGTCTGCAGAGTCCCTGTGTCTTCACTGTGCTCCCTTCTTTGGAGATTTGGTGTCACGGGCTCTGTTGAACGTCGCTATTGAGCCCTAAAAGAATCAGTGTATCAAGAGGCGAAGAATGAGTCTCTCCTGATGAATCCAGTACTGCAGAAGAAATGGGTTCTAGGTCATGCTAAGGGCCAGTGGCTCCTGAAAGCGTCCTGTCCGGGGCATTGGATTCCCGTGGACTCCTGACAACCCACTCACCCTCCCCGCTATCGGGCCGAGACTGGCCCTAGCTCCTTGTTTCCAGTCAGCAGGGTGCCAGCAGCTTGCACATAGCTTCTAAGGCGGTTACCTTTCTGACACGATCAACCCCCTTTGAAGTCAAAGCCACCTCGCCCGGCTGCCTTTCCCCCGAGCTGCTGCTGACGTTCTTGAGGGACTGGGTGGGGGCTGGGAGGGAGCTCTGAAGCATCCTGGGACCCAGTCCTCGGATGGCTGACTTAACTCAGAACAAGGAACGCTGCGCTTTGGTGAGTAGGCCCATTTAGATCATAGTAAACGGGTCCATCGCGGTCCATTGGATGACACTGATCAGGAATGTGACCAGTGGACTCTCAACACAACAGAAGAACACGTTCCTAAACTTTTTAGGGTTTAGGAACACCCATGCTGTCCTGAAGGTGACAGCTGTGCCTGCTTTGTGTTGTTTCTTATTGTATGTGCGTTATACTCCGGATGTTTACAAAGTCCGTGACAAATGTAAGAATCGGATGCTTTGGATGTAAGTGAGACAGAAGCAGTGTCAATGTCCAAGCGAGGATCTAATCCATAGTCCTCCACAGGGTCCGATTCTGATGCCTAGCTTGGCCATTCATCCCCTGGAGTGTGGACAGAGCTTTGGGGATGCGTTAGCGATACTAATCATACGCTCGCTCACAGAAGATGGTGTTTTAAATAGGATGCGATTAGCCTCCTTGTAGCCAATGGTATGTAACGCCTTCAGCGCACCTCGTACATAAAGAACATTAAAGGAGCCCTGGCCGGTTTGGCTCAGTGGTTAGAGCATCGGCCTGCGGTCCGGAGAGACCCAGATTCGGTTCCCGCTAAGGGCACGCACCTCGGTTGCAGTTTGTCCCAGGACCCGGTTGGGTCGTATGGGTGGCAGCCACTCGATGTGTCCCTTTCACGTCAATGTTTCTCTCTCTCTCTCTTTCTCTCTCTCTCCCTCCCACTCTATCTGAACAAAATATCGAACAATGTCCTTGGGTGAGGATAAAAAAATAATAATAATAACATTAAAGGACGCTGGTAAAGTCATACTAAAGGCAATGAGCTCTTCCTTCTTCCGATAGTTCAGTTTGTTCTGAAACGTCCGAGCTCCGACTTGTCGGAGTGTTTGCGGGACCGGGACTTCATCAGGACCCCGGGACATGTGTGCAGACCTTCCGTTGAGGGCTCCGCACAGGGCGCCCCCCTCTTGTGTCTTCTCGCTAGGAAATCGGGGTGCAAAGCACAGCGGAGCAGAGGAGTCCGTTCCCTCTCACTCCTGTTCCAGGGCAGACGGCACAGCCGATGTTTGGTCTCTGTTTCAGTGCCTTGCCAGCCGCTGGGCACGGCCCCAGACCTCGCTCCGGCCCCTCGGCCACGCTCACCTGATGTCGGACCTGAGGAGTCCTGGTCAGGTGGACAGCCCCCCGTGCTAAGCGAGGGTCTCAGCTGCGGCATCTGGTTGGCGTGCGAGGAACGGGGGGGGGGGGGGGAGGCGCAAACACAACTGATTTGACTTTGTTCCCTGCCAGCGTGCGTCAGATTGCACAGGTCTGCCTGGGAGGAGCCATGTCACTCCGTGTCTGTGTGTGTCTGTGTCTGTGTCTGAATAAGTATGTTCACAGGAGTCTCGTGACGCCCTTCACTGCAGGAAGACCAGCAGTAATCGGGGACCCCTCTTCCCTGCACAACCAGCTGCAGCCGGTGAACGAGCCAGCCTTCCCTCCCGGCTCCCCTCCCCCCGAAAGGCGCTGGAGTGCGGCTGACTGTTCCCAGGGACCCGCACACCCAGGCAGTTCATAAACACTTCCCAGAGCTTTGCTTCTTACAGAGGCAGATAACCCCCGGTCGGCTGGTTTTTGGCTCGAGAGCCAGGCCGTCTGGTTCTCGCTCCCCCTGGGCAGCCACTAAGGCGCATTCGCTTCCCACGAGGGGTCGCACCCCACGACCCCGTCCAACGAGGCCCTTCCCTCCCCAGGAGTGCACGAACCTCTGCTGCAACGCCACGAGCTGTACCCTGAAGCCGGGCGCGGTCTGTGCGCACGGCCTGTGCTGTGAGGACTGCCAGGTGAGTTCCCAAGGCCGCCCCGGGCTCAGGCAGGTCACCGGGCCAGGCAGCCGGGCAGGACCAGGACGACGTCCCGGCTCCCGCTGCTGCGGAGACTCGCTCCTCATGGGGGCCGGCCTCGCCGCCTCCTGTTTCTCTTCCTTCGCTGTGTGAAACGCACCTTTTGATGCTAAGTCGCCTGAGATAGACTATTTATGAGCTGAAAAGTAACTGGACTGGAAGAGTCAGGCTCGGGGTTCCGTGTTCCATTCGTGCTGTGGGGGCACGTGCAGCAATCGCCGTAACCAGAGGAGGATTCGGGAACAGCCCCACTCCCGTCACTCGGTCTCACGCCAGCTCCTTCTGCTTGACCCCACGGTCTGACCGCCGGCTGAGGAGCCTGGCAGGTTGTCCCGGGGCTTTGTATTAACGTTCTGACCCCCGTGTCCTAACAGCGGGTGCCACCAACACCCAGCCCAGCCCGGTGGCTTCATACCTTTGCCGTTTCCACCGACATCACTGCGTTTGTTTGGACAAGTCCACGGCTGGTCTCATTATTCAGAGCTGGGATCTGCCACAGAAGCCTGAGCTTTTGAGTCGGAGGTTCCAAGGGTAGAATTTTTTCCTCTGCTTACAGGAAACTCCATGATTCAGAAATACATTAAAACATTGTACGTTCCGCTTAAAACACCCTTTGCCCCCTTTCTACTAGTGGGTAACTGGCAGGACCACTAAAAGCAGCTGGCCTCCCTGGCACGTGGCAGCTGATGGCAGAAGGTGCTTGGAATGGGTGGCGGGGGAAGTGGGTCACTGGTTGTGCAGCCTCAGAGCAGCCACTGGGGGCCTCACTTCAGCCACAGAGAGGACACGTTGTCGCCTGGTTCCTAGCGTCCTGTACCCCACACACACACTTTATTTCTTCTGCACCTCGCCCCACAAAGTCCTACGGACAGGTCTCCAGCTCTGTGATTGGATGACGACATAAAATGGCTGTTGTGACTGTGCCCTTGGAGCTGTTCTGTCAACTTGCCCACAGATGCTGGCGCTGGCAGTGCGTGCCGCACCCGGCAGCATGCAGTGCATTGGGGACAGTGCACCAGGCCACCGCCCCTCCCCTGCCCCCAAGTGGCAGTGCCAGCCGCATCCGGCAGCATGCAGTGCATTGGGGACAGTGCACCGGGCCACCGCCCCCTCCCCTGCCCCCAAGTGGCAGTGCCAGCGACCAGCTTGTCTGCTCATCAGGCAGCCCGCAAGTTGCATGGCGCTAAAAAGAGGCCGCTCTTGGTTTCCCCCCGACAGAGGGAAGGCCATGGGCACCCAGAGCAAGACTGTTGGTTCAGGGACGCCCTCTGCTGTAAGGGCACTGGCTTTGCGACCCTGCGTGACACCTGAGTGGCCTGCGTGGTCCACTCCAGGGAGCATGTGCTGTGAACACCCTCTCCTTTCAGCTGAAGCCTGCAGGGACAGCGTGCAGGGGCCCCGGCAACTCCTGCGACCTCCCCGAGTTCTGCTCGGGGGCCAGCCCCCACTGCCCGGCCAACGTGTACCTCCATGATGGGCAGCCGTGTCGGGGCGTGGACGGCTACTGCTACAACGGCATCTGTCTGACCCACGAGCAGCAGTGCGTCACACTCTGGGGACCAGGTACGTGGTGCCTCCGTGGTGCTGGTTGGGCTGGGGACTGCCGGGCACTGGGCACAACCCGGGGTCAGCCCTGAGGAGCTCAGTGCCGCCCAGTGAGGGACGTGTGAGCACCTACTGCGTGCCCATGGGTGACGGGGACAAATCAGCCGGGACCCCTACCCTCAGATAGCTTAACAGGTAGTTGGACAGACAGACAGAACCTCCCACCACCACTCTGATTGCGTAAGTGCTTCTCAGTGCCCAGGCCGAGGGCATTGGGCGCCAGAGAGCATCACCGCAGCTGGGGGCCGGGGCAGCATCCGAAGGCTCGAGCGGGCCGGTGCTCCAGCGGTCTGTGACCGGGAAGGACAGGAAGCGGCAGCGGCATCCAGGTGGGAGGCACATGGAAGGGGCAGTGGGGGCCGGAGACTGGACCCCGGAGCTTGGGGAAAGAGCATGGACACAGGAGCTGGGGGGCCTGGGGGGCCACCACGGTTCTGAAGGCGGAGCGATGGGCTTGTGTGTTCCTGAAGAGCGCCCGGCTGAAGGGGGCCGGGTCAGTCTGAGACTCCATTCACCGCTTCTGTGGGGGCGGCTCTGGCTGGGTGCGTGGCACGGTCTGTCCCTCTAACCCTCCAGCGCCCCCCGGGGCAGGGGCAGTGAGCACAGCTGTGCAGAAGGTGAGACTCGAACCCTGAGGCCAGATGTCAGATTCCCGGGGTCGCGGGGCCGGGACTTGAACACAGACCCTGGTGGCCCAAAGCCCACAGGTAGTGCCCGCACTGCACAGTCAGCCCAAAGAGCCAGGTCCCGAACTGAAGTTCCTAGAAGGAAGTTCTGGAAGTGACCAGACGTGCGATGTGCAGGGGAAGAACCAGCCCCCTGTGTGTGGCCCCTTCTCTGGGGCCAGAGGTCCAGCCGCACGGGTCAGCCCAGGCCCTGCAGGCTTGTTGTCCCACACGGCTGGTCTCCAGGGCCACGCAGAGTGTTCTCGAGAGTGCAGGCCCCACCCCGTCTCATCGTCCTTCTCCCTCCTCCCGCCGGCTGCAGGGGTGACCTCAGCTCTGGCCAGAGGCTCGGCTGTGGCCAGACCACTGCGGTGAGCCAGGCAGAGAGCCAGGCGAGCCAGGCGAGCCAGGCCCTGGCTCCAGGGGGCAGAGAAACTCGACATGGACGTTTGTCAGACTTTGTGGTAGGTTTTGCTTTTAGGAGTGGCGAGCGAGGTCAACGAGGGCATGAAATGATGACTGAACATCAAACCCGGGCGGAGGTGCCATGTGAAGGCAGTGACCCGAGCCAGGAGAACAGGACAGCTGTGTCCTGGAGCGGTGCCCCGGCATGGGGGCCTCCTCAGACCCCTGCACCGGAGCGGCCTGGGGGAGGAAAAGGCAGCGTGGACACAGCCCCATGCGGCTGACACAGCCGTCCCCTCACACTCAGTCCTTCCGCTGAGACTCGGGCTGCGTGGGCGCCCTGGCAGGTGGGAAGGGGGGGCCTGCAGTGCCTGGGCCTTTGTGCTTCATCAGTGGACCCTGGGCGGCCCCCAGTCCTGGCCCCCTGGCCTGCTGGGCTGGGAGGACCCCCAGGTAAGGGTGAGGTCTCGGGGTCGCACGTGAGGTGAATTCTTTGCAATGACAAGCACAAAGCAGGCACTCACTATACACGGGCCAGCTGGCTATGGGCTCTGAATGGTTTCGTGACTTTAGATACCTTTTAGCCAAGTGAGGTCACCTGGGGACAGCGGCTACTGCTGCCGGCCAAGTCTCCATGGCGTAACGCATCCCTGGTGGCCGTCCCTTGCTGGCCGTCCTCCAGACCCCGTCATCTCTGTTCTGGAGTTACAGGGCTCGAATCGCCGCTCCATCCAGGGAGCGTTCTGCGGCCAGAGCACACCCAGCCCTGGGGCTCTCGGGGTGAAGTGTGCCCTCGGTGCCCTGCTCTCTCGTCACGTCCGGCCCCGTGTCCAGGGTGAGGCGGGATGGAGCACGCCGCTCGCTCCGAGCCACCGCCACCGCGTCTCAGCGGGCTGCTAGCCTGTGATGCCTGGTGGCAGGCTGGGTGTTTACCATCTCACCGCGTGCATCCCCGACCAGAGAGAGCCAGACAGGCGGACACACCGACAACCTGACTCATGGCCTGCGCTTTCCAAAGCAAGAGTAGTAGCAAGTCACCTGCGTTGAACTTTTAATGTCCTTGTGGCCAGAGGTGACACCCCCTACCCTGGCTCCTGGCTTGTCTCCCCTGCCCACCCTCACCCTGCTGACAAGGAGGCCGCTGCCTGGGCAGTGCTGGGTTCACCATGGGACGTCACTGCACCCCGACTAAACATCCCCGGCATCAGGGGTGCTCAGAGGTCCTGCTGCCACAGGCGTGGGGACCGGGTTCGGAGAGCCACCTCAGGCTGGTGACTAGTCCACCTGGCCACCGCCTTGACAGAGGCTCCTTCCGAGCCAGCCTGGCGGCTCCATTGCCCAGTTCGGGGCGCTGGATGGGTCTCCTGTGGCCGCTGCAACGATTACCACCCACTTAGTGGCTTGTGACACACACTCGTCATCCTCTAGTGCTGGGGTCAGAAGTCCCAACATCACATGTGGGCAGGGCCGGCGCCTTCTGGAGGCCCGGGGGAGAACCCACGACCTTGCCTTCTCCAGGGTCAGCGTCTCCTTGGTGTGTGGCCTCTGCCTCCATCCCCACGGCCAGCAGCACGGCCTTGTCACACTGTCCCTCTCTGACCTCTGCTTCTGTCCTCATGCCCCCTTCTCCAGCTCTGACCCCCTGCCTCCCTCTGGAGCAGCGGTTCTCAACCTGTGGGTCGTGACCCCTTTGGGGGTCGAACGACCCTTTCACAGGGGTCTCCTAAGACCATCGGAAAACACTTATTTCCGATGGCAATTCACAACAGTAGCAAAATTACAGTGATGAAGTAGCAACGAGAATAATTTTTTGGTTGGGGGTCCCCACAACATGAGGAACTGGATTTAAGGGTCGCAGCATCAGGAAGGTGGAGAACCACTGCCCTAGAGGGACCCTGTGATTACACTGGATCCACCCAAATCACCGGGCAGCTCCCCCGGGCTCCACTCCTTAATCCCGTCTTCAGAGCCCTTTTGACAGTGAGGTTCCAGGAGTTAGACTCGGACCTCCCGGGGCGGGGCTGTTTCCTGCCCGCCACAGGCATGAAATGGGCCACTTCCTGGCAAGGTGACCTTCAGCAGGTTACTCCACCTTGTTGTGAAGTGGGGATAGACTGCGCCTCCCCCTTGGGTGTCGTCTCGTCCTGACACGGTGGCTGTTTTATGTAAGAGACGTAAATAACGCAGGCTAGGTGCGCGGGGCGCGCACTGGAGCTGTACCTCAGATGGGACTGTTTGCAGGAGCCCGAGGACGAGCGAGCCTGAGCCTCGGGGCCTGGGCTGTGGTGCGTGGGGTGGAGGAGACGAGCCTGGCCCGGGGGGGCGGGGGTGCAGCGTCACAGATAGGGGTGCCCTCGAGTTGTCGTTTGCCGGGGTAGACAGGAAGGCTGATCCTGCACACGGAACAGCAGGGGCCAGGCTCAGGGGGCCCGGGGGGCCGCTCTGCTCGCCGGGAGTTTGGGCTGTGACCTGCAGGGTCCTTGTCTGTGGCCCCACCCTCTCGTTTTTTCAACGTGCATCACTGTCCTGCTGCGGTAAGATGCTGACTCAAGAGCCCAGGCTCTGCCAGGGTGACACATTCCCACAGTCCCTGTGCCCGCCCGCCGGGACCCAGGGAGCTCGCGGCCAGGCCGGGCCCCGGGCCAGCTGGACGCCGGGCTGAGGGCCTCATGCTGTGTCACAGTGGCCGTTAAAATCTGCTTTCAGGATTCAAAACAGGAAAACTTGTCGGGGATGCATTTGCAGTGCCTCATTTCCCCTCCACTCGCAAATGCTCTCAACTCTAGGAGTCCCCGAGTCCTCGCTCCACGGGCCCAGGACATTTGCCCTCAGGTGACCCGGCCAAGTCACTGACTCATCCGGGATTCTCCGGTTCCACTCGGGAAGTCGCTTCCTCTCCGGCTCTGGCTGCCCAAACACGGAGCGGACGAAGCCCTTCCTGCAGCTCGCCGGGCCCTTTTGACCGGGCTTGTCCGAATCCAGCGTGCTGTTTCAATAAAATTGCCCTGCTCCCAAACCTGCCTGCAGATAGGATGACGAAGAAATTCAGAACATGTGCCTGCACCTCCTCACTGGCAACGTGGCGCACTCTTAGAACACCTTCAGAGATTCGAGTTCACTTGTTTTTCAGTTTATTAATGTTGATGATGATCTTGCTGGGCAGGGGTTGAATTTTGTTTTTCCTCACTGCTTTTGCTCTTGTAACTTAAGACTTTGTATCTTTGTTGTTGTTGTTATTAATCCTCACCCGAGGATATTTTTCTATTGATTTTTAAATTGGGAGAGAGGGAGGAGGGGAGAGAGAAGCATCCATGTAAGAGAGAAACATCCATGGTTGCCTCTTGCACATGCCCCAGCTGGGGCCTGGAATCGAACCTGAGACTCTTCAGTCCACGGGCCGACGCTCCAACCACTGGGCCACACCAGCCAGGGCGAGACTTTGTATCTTGATGTCAAGCACACAAATGCTGCCAGCAGTTGAGACTGTGACTCGCGCTTAGCTGTCTTTGTCCAGCTTCGTCCTCACAGCTGCAGAGATTTCCCGTCGATGCCGCACGACCCGTATTCCTTCGGTAGGGCAGCCGGACATTTCTCTCCAGGCAGAACGTGTCCTTTTGCCCCTGATGTTTATCTGAGCCCCTGACATGGTTACTGAAAACATCCCTTGGAAATTCATGGTCCCGCTAACTACATGTCCACGGCCACAGACGGTCTGCCCAAGAAGGCCTGACATACATCCGCGTTATCCACTTTGTCCCTCCCTGGAGTCCAGCGTCACCTGATCACGGGGTGTGAGCCAGCCGGGCGGCTTCTACGGGCTGCTGAACGGTGTTCACCTGTGAGGACCATTCCAGGGAGTTCTGCTGCTCGTGACACACCTGGGCGGCA